CCCCCTCTCCCCCTCTACCCCTTCCAACTGTACACGACACGTGCAATCACTGCAAATTGCACGAGAAAGAGAGTAATGAGAGTAATTGCAATTGACAGAATGACACGCATCGTCTTACGATTTTATTACCGATCGGAGGGCGATAGCCCCATCCGATGATTAAATTCAACTCAAACTCGGATTTTCCATTAAATAAATAAATTAAATTCACTTTTGATCGTGTAATAAAAAAATAAACAGTTGCATTATCAATGAGATAAAAAATGTTATTGTAAATCAAGTATTTTGGCTTTCTCCCATTTGTTTTGATAAATTGTAATTAACAATAATTTATCCAGCGGATAAACAAATTGTATTAATTACGTCAATTGTTTAATAGAAAAATGAAATTGAATTTCGATTTCTTGGGAATATTCAATTTTTTTTTAATGTTATTTTGGGGGAACTTATTTTTTTTAATCGAGACATTTGTTTAAAAAATATATAAATTATAGGGAATTGTTGTTATTTTATTAAATTAGTTTTCTCTCATTTGTATCGAGAAAACAATAATTTTTTATTGCACTATTTTCGAATATTCATCAAATAAACAAATTGTATTAATTGCATCAATTGTTTAATTAATTATCGAATAAAAGTGGAATAAATTAAAATGAGATTGAACTAAAGATTAGTTTAAAAATAGAATTAAAATTCGATTTCTTGCGAACATTGAATTTTTTAAAAATGTTATTATGCGAGAACTTATATTTTTTTAATCAACACATTTGTTTAAATAAATAGATAAAATATAGAGAATTGTTTTTATATTAGAGACTAATTATCGTTGGAATTCTTTCTAGATTTTTTTAAGAAACTGGTGGAGTGGAGCAAGGAATTTGGAGATATCTATTTGTTGTGGCTGGGACCTAGGCCCCTGGTGTTCGTCTACAGGGTTGAAGGGGTTCAGGCATTACTCAGTAGCAGTGTCCACATCGACAAGAGCCTGGAATATCAGTACCTGAGACGATGGCTGGGGAACGGTCTCGTAGTCAACAGCGGTGAGCGCAAAAAAGCACTCTCCCTCCGTTTCCGTGCCAGATACCAAAATTTTCGTTATTATCTTTTTTGTAGAGCTGATGAAGAGCTATAAAAGATGTTATAATGAAAATCGCGATATCTCCCTTAATTCTTGAGATACATCCTGAAAACTCAGCAGGTACCTGAATTCCCTCGTTCCACCACTTCAATCAGTTTTTTTGGAAATACCTACATCTCCTCAACTATGGAAAATATCAAAATTTTGATTGAAACCTTTTTTGTAGCTCTCAATCCTCTCTAGAAAAAAGGTCATTACAAAAATTTTTGTATCTCCCTCAGATTCCAGGATTTTCCTAAAAAAAACGCGCAAAAAATTTACTAAACCCGTTTTTTCAGTCCAGAATTTCAAGATTCCATTCAAAAATCAAATGAATCATTACATAATTAATTACCCAATTACTCAATAGCTGATTACCATTCCTAATAATAATCCACTAAATTATTGAAATGATATTCATCAAATTTCCATGCAATAACGACTACAGAACGAGTGATTGATGACGACGTCAGCAAGACTGAGTATTTCCTCATCAATACCGTAAAAACTAGTTGTCCACATTGTAAATAATTCATTCATCAGTTGAATAAAGAATTACATCACGTGTTACTGCACTCGAGGCCTTCCAGCGAATAATAGACACGTAATGTCAGTATTTTCCAGAAGAATCAAAATGAAAACAATTTTTCCATGCAGGCGATTCGTGGCACTTCAGAAGAAAACTAGTCACTCCAACATTCCACAGTGGTCTTCTCCTGGACTACCTGAAGTCGACAATCAGAGAATCCCATACAATGGTCGCCTGTCTAGTCAACGAAATTGAAAACGATGGATTTGACATCGTCCCTTACGCAAAACGCGCAGCACTCGATTTAATTTGTGGTAAATCAATGCGATGAACTGTCACCTTAAATTATTTAATAACAAATTACAATAACAATGATTTTAATTCCCTCAGAGACGACGATGGGGTACCACATGAACGCTCAGACGAAATTGAACAACGATTACGTTCGAGCAGTGGAAAAGTAAAAATTTCACAAATTGCAAATTTGATTGAAAAAATTCTCTAAAAAATTGTTAATTCACCAATAATATTTCAGAATGACGACAATAATGCAGACAAGGTTCACGAACATCTGGATCTCTCTGGATGCAATATTTAATCTGACAGCATTGGGAAAGGAGCACGAGAGGGCTCTGAATGTGATTCACAGTTTTGTTGACAAGATAATAGCGGAGAGAAAGGCGCAATGGAAGATATCCCGTGATGGAAATTTCAATGATGCCACGAAGAAGCGTCCAGCCTTCCTGGATTTTCTCCTGGAGGTATCCCAGGATGGGACTGTTCTGAATGACAGAGACATCAGGGATGAAGTCAACACTTTCATGTTCGCAGGACACGATACCGTAGCCACCAGTCTCTCCTGGTTTTTTTATGCCATTGGACTTCATCCTGAGTACCAGGTACTGCTCCTGGGGGAATCTATGGCTCTTATGGCCTTCATTTTATCCAATTAATCCATTTTTTTTCCTATTTTTACAGACGAAAATTCTGGAAGAGTACGACCAGGTGATCGGTAACGAGGAAATCACTCTCGAGGGATTGAATAAACTCTCCTGGCTCGATGCCTGTGTCAAGGAAGTCTGGAGGATATACCCTGTAGTCCCTCTCGTTGCTAGACAAATCTACCAACCGATTAAAATCAGTAAGAAATCATTAAATCATGAAATATCGATTTTAAAAAGAAGTCAGCAAAAATCGTTTCGGGAATATCTCAAAAACCCTTACTCTCAGCGAAAAATGTAATTAGACTTTTTTGTAGGGCATGAAATTCTCCGGAAACACGGTCTTATCGTCTTTTAGTCTCAGACGAAGGGTTCTCGAGATATTCGCAGAATTCTACGACAAGAAATCCTAAACTGATTAATATTTGTTGATAATTGAGATTTTTCAATTTTTATTTACATAATTAATGGGAAAAATTAATTTTAGTGAACCACGACATTCCCATTGGCTCGACAGTTCTGATAAATACTTTCCTGCTGCATCGGGACCCTCGGCATTTTCCGGAACCCGAAGTATTCCGACCAGAGAGATTTCTTCCGGATAGTCCAAAGCCTCCGACATTTGCATTTATCCCCTTCAGTGCTGGCTCTCGCAATTGTATTGGATGGAAATTTGCCACGATGGAGGTCAAGGTCACGATTTTAACTGTCCTCAGGGCGTATCACATTCAGTCCTTGGAGAATCCTGATCAGCTCAGGCTGAGCAGCTCCATCGTCCTGATCAACGCCAATGGCCTACGAGTCAAGATATCCCGGAGGAAATAATTCCTTAATTGTCAATCAA